TTGTATAATTTCTTGTTGCCTCAAATAATCTTTGACGTTTTCTAACTCAGTCTTTACAAGTATAAGTTTCATGGCGGCAATACGAAATTTATCCTGAAGGATAGGTATAATTTGGTACATAGCAAGGGGTGGATTTATGAGGAGACCTGTCTGTACTTTGGGGTTGACGTATTCTTTGACGCTATTGATGATGTCATTTTCTAAGTTAGTGTGTGATATTTGAACAGCAATGCGTGTGTGCGTGTCAAAAGGTTTTGATACTGCAGGGCGTCGTTTGACGTCATCCACAATTGTTAGCACTAGTTGGCGGTGAAATCGGTTCAGTGGTTCGTCGGTAATGGGTATTTTGAGGATTGGATTCTCTTGAATGGTGTGCGCGGTTGCTGTGGTAGAACCCTGAGGGGATGATGGCCTTTCAGATTGATTGGCTACCATTGAACTACAGTCCTCGTTGTGTATTTCAATACGAGATAACACGTCAGCGTTAAGATTGTGTCTGCCCTTTTTATTAACAACGGTGAAGTCGTATTCGCTGAGTTTAAGACGCCAGCGAGTTAATCTTGAGTTGGGCTCCTTTATGTTAACTAACCATTGTAAGGGTTTGTGATCGGTGATGATCTTAAATTTACGACCAAACAGATAGGGACTAAAATATTTGGTCGCCCATACAATTGCGAGAAGTTCCTTTTCTATTGTCGAGTAATTACACTCGCTGTCGTTCAGTGTCCTAGATGCGTAAGCTTCAGGTTTGTCTATTCCTATGGTGCCTTGGGAAAGGACAGCCCCAATGGCAAAGTTTGAAGCGTCTGTGGTGAGTATAAAGTCCTTAGTAAAGTCGGGGTACTGTAATATCGGGTCGTTTGTCAAAAGAGTTTTGCAGTGTTCTAAACATTTTACGTATTCGGGGGTTATAGTCAATTTTGCGCCTTTCTTTAGTCTAACTGTCAATGGTTTTGTCACCTTTGCAAAATCGGGGATGAATCGGCGATAATATCCTAGTAGCCCTAGAAAACTTTTAATTTCTTTAGTGGTTTTTGGAATGGGATATTTTTGGATAGCTGAGATTTTATCCGTGTTAGGTTTTATACCGTCTTTACTAATTATATGTCCTAAGTAGGGTGTCTCTAGTTTCAAGAATTCGAACTTGTCCATTTGAATTTTGAAGTTGGACTCGCGGAGTTTCTGAAATACCTTTTCAAGGTTGAGAATGTGTTCCTGAAGGGATGTACTGAAGACTATGATGTCATTCAAATACACAAGACAGATGGAATTCTGTAAATCCTTAAGGACATTGTCCATGACGCACTGGAAGGTGGAAGGGCTGTTTTTAAGACCCATGGGCATGCGCAGAAACTCATAGTGACCGTTTTCTACGTTAAATGCTGTTTTAGGGATCGAACCGTCAGCTGATTGCATCTCCACCTGGTAAAACCCGCTTGCTAAATCTAGGGTTGTAAAGTAATGGCACTTTCCTAGCTTATCTAGCACGTCAGCAATATTTGAGATGGGGTATTTGTTGTCTAAAGTTTTTTCATTCAGTTTCCTAAAGTCTACGACAAGTCGCCACTTAGTTTTCCCTGATGCATCCGATTTTTTGGGGACTATCCATATGGGAGAGCTCCATGCGGAGTTTGAAGGTCGTATTATTCCCTGTTGTAACATTTTGCTTATTTGGTCCCTTATTTCCTGCTTATGAACATATGGATATCTGTAGCTTTTTGTATATATCTTATCTGTCTTTATGCTATGTTTTATTTGATTCGTAAATGTAAGGGGTTCGTCATCTAAGTAAAATACATCTGAGTACTGAGAGCAAAGTGATATTAAATTAGTTTTTTCTTTCGCGTTCAAATGGTCAGTACGCAACCGCTCTAATACTTTCTGAACGCGCTCCGAGTCCATGCGCTTAGTTCGCGTGCACTCGATATTAAATAATTCAGCTCGCGCTGGTCGGTCTAAGGAAATTATTACGTCATTCACTGATAAGTTTGCGACCTCGACTACGCTACGATTGTTCGTAACAGTAGTCAAGCTTTCTCGTATTACACAGTTACATATCACCTGTTCGGGAATGTAAACATCGCCGTTATTGCTATAAATAGGTACTTTAATTAACTTCGAACTTTGAGCGGGAATAATAGCTTTGTAAAAATTAATATTTCTTGAAACAAACATAAGGATTGGGTTTATAGCAAATTTAGTAGAAAGGGTGCATGATTTTAAATCGTTTTTTGCTTCCCATTTCTTTAATAAATCGAGACCAATCAGACCGTCAAAGTAATTATGAAATTTATAGACATATAATTTTATATTATCGACTTCGCTAAATTCTGGGAAACATGGCATTGTAATTGAATGCTCGGCGCGGGTGGTGGCGTGTACGTTTGTCACTTCAAAGGGCTTGTAAGCTAATGGGACATGGGAAAAGAATTTCTGTACGGCCTCGGGGCTGATGAATGAGGTTCGCTCCTGTGTCAACGAGAAACTTCAAGGGCGGATCGTTAATCTGTATATAAGGTAAATTACGTTGAGTATGTAAGTTAACTTCTATCTTGACTTTTTTAACTTCGGTTCCTTTTGAAAATTTTCACCGTTAGAAGGCTGCGGGGCCTCGTTTTTACTGGTAGAGGCTACACATTCGTCTTGGTCATAAGGTAAGTAGTCACATGTCTCAATATACTCTACAGAGACCTGGGAATCGTCGTATTCGTAGTCGTAAGTAGGTTGGTGAGTATATTCATAGTCAGTCTGCCAGTCTGAGTCATAGTAAGTGTTGTCATACCCATATGAAAAATCATTTAAATTTACTTCGCGTATTTTAAAATAGTTTGATGGAGGTGGGTTGCCGTGCCGTCTCCAATCATGACCTGATAACCCTGTGGCTGGTAACACCTTAGGGGTATAGTGCTGAACACCACTCATTGGTGCAGCGGGTTGATTAAAATTACGCGGTGGCATACGGAAAACATTGCTACGGGGATTATAGTTAGGGGGCGGTGCCCGGAACATTTGCTGAGTGCGAGAGGGATGATTATTATTTTGCGAGAATCTAAACGGTTGCTGTATTGGCTGGTTACTAACTTTGTGTGCGTAAGGCTGCTGGTTCATATGTACAGGCTTATAAAATGGCGGAGCCTGATGCTGCTGGAGAGAAAAATTAGTAGGTCTTGGCATTGGTGGTTGTGGTGGCATTATAGGCATTTGAAACTTTGGAATATGTTGCGGCTTACCAACAGAATCGTTGCATTGCTGAAGATATAAAATATTTAGTTCTTCTTGAACATATTCCAAGGCTTTCTCTATAGTGGGCGGCCTCATGCATCGAATACGGGATCCTAAGGGATCTTGCAAACCTCTTACGAATGCCTGCATGGTGGCCTTCCTGTATAATATATACATATGTCATATGAGTACTAAACAAATTTTGACAGTGGTCATAAAACTCTTGAGCAGATTTTTGCCCTTGTGAAGCTAACGCAAGGTCGTTATAAAGTGCCGTTTCGTCACGTTGATCCGCAAAATTATTAATTAAAACATCACGGATACCGCTCCAACAGTCTGGTATGCCGTTCGAGTTGATTATCGTGGCGGAAGCCCCGGTAATTTTGTTAAGAGTACCATTAAGAAGGCATAAGTTGCTAAACTCGTTACCTGCCTCTTGTGACATATACTGAGTTACTAAGGTGTCGCATATTCTTATGAATCTAGTTAAAATATATAGATTTCCGTCGAATTCCGCATGACACATGAATCGGCCAACGCTGGCCGGCATTTGCCTTTAAAGATTTGCGTTTCTTTATTCCACCGATCACTTCTTAATAGAAGGGTTAACAGTTACGGTGGAATAAAGAAACGCACATAGATGAACCCTCTAAATATAACATGCCTTTTTGCAGTCATGTAAAAATTACTTAGTGCAAACGCACATTGAACCACTAAACGCAACTCTTTCAGTTGCGTTTAGTGGACGGATACTGATGAGATTTTTCATACATTTTGTATGGTAACGGCGTAAACCAATCGTTCAAGTGGCTGCGTTCTAGCCACAAGTTGCGGGCACAAAATACTATCTATTTCGTGCTTTCCGGCGTCGTCCGAATTCGCTGCTTGTGGCCGCATTTTTTCGCTCGCATCGCGCGCTCACTTGGCCGCAGTAGCCGATTTCTTTCCGGGCGCCCGCATGTGTTGTTCGGGAAATCAACAAACTGACGTGTGTTGGTGGTTAAATATATTGAATCCAGTGTTTCCATTTCGAAAAGCGGTTTTCGACCCCTAAGCCGAGCTCTTGATGAAAATGAAACGAATTCTGCCAAGAGTGCCAATTGGTAGCCGCCACTCAACGATTTGGTGGCAGCGTCTAGTGGCTTGACTGAGCCACTGTGGTCACGTTTAGTAGCCTCGATTAGTGGCTCAATGTGCAGTTGCGCTTAAAATATGAGAATTTGATACCTACTTAGGTATATTTATCAAAACTGTACTCATTTATTCAGGAATACCATAAATAAATAAGGCTCAAAAAATGAGCCATATGTATGGATGGTCCTTTGGAATAAAAATCGTTGGCTGTCCCAGGGCGTGCATTAGCTGGCCCATATTTTATATGGGTAACTAAACTTTACCCTTTCTTCAGCGATACTGCGGGTTATTGATCCCGGTTTTGTAAATATAAATTATGTAATTAGTCGTTGAAAATAATATGAATCTTTGAACCAAAATCTAGTCGGTCATGAGTTCATTTCATAAAATAAATATATAGGTATTGTGTGTCACCCACCCCTACGCAATATTCAAGTTTTTTTTGAGTTATAGCCAATTATTAATTTTATATGAACACCATTTCTTTAACATAACTTTAACAATAATGCAATTTATCACCAAAATCGGATAAAGTAAAAGGGCGAAGTAAAGGAGGTCGCAAAATAAAATTCGCCGTTGAGAAGAAATCATATGTAACATTTGAAAATCGAATAAAATAAATGACAAATGACTTTTCTGTACATTCCGTTTTGACCGTGAAATATATTATGTAGTCATTGCTGTTCAAGTATTTTTAAAAATAGTGAATTAACCATTTATCAGTTTTAAGTTGAAGAAGTGTTACAATGGCTAGCCCAGATTTTCGAAAGGATGTCTCTATACCAGTTCGCCCCAGGAGTGTGTATACTGCTCATTCTTACAATCAGGTAATTGTGTTCTTAGTTGTCTAATAGTTTGCATTTACTTTTACTACTCAGGTTCTTTATAATATTAGTTTGAAATAACATTACATAAGACGGAATGAATAATTGAAAATGAAGCAAAGCACGATGGTTATCATAAGATGTGCATAAATAAACTTAAAAACTCGAAATCTTAGATTAAAACAAAAAGGGAAGATACGGCACCCGATCAAAAGTGACCCGCTTAAATTGTGGTGCACGACCACAATTCGCTTTAGTCACGATTGGACATTCAAACACGCTGCATGTTCACTCAATATACTAATATTACGTATATTCTGTGTTATAAAGCCTTCGATGCTTTTATTTCAAAATCATTATTCGTTCAAAATCAAATGCCTCGGCAACACTTCTCATTCATAAAACTAAAAAAATATTTTTTTCTCAAAAATCACGGTTTGTCGTGAATATTATTTACGTAATCGCCATTATGTTATCAAGAATAGGACAACAATACAGCTTAGCCGTGCGGACTCGGAAGTGGACTCTCAGATCCGTTTCGCTCGGTCTGCGTTGAAGCGTAAAGTTCTGTCTCGTTCGCTCGATTGAATGTTATTTACAGACGTGTGCGTGTGTGTGAGTTGGTTATGTGGTCAAGTCGGATCATATTTTATTTGATGCTAATATGAGCGTACCGTATCTTCCCTATTTGTTTTAATCTAAGGTTCAAAATGTTTTATGTACCCGCATCGATACTAAAATAATTTGCTACTGCTACAAAAATATAGTACTATGGGATTTTATGGAATATAAAAAAGCTTCGATGTTAAGCACCATTCCTATGCCACATTTAGCTTCATTCTTCCACAAAAAAAGAACTAAATAAAATATAGGGAGATATTTATTTTTTGTAATAAGGTTGACAATCGAGCACTTTTAACAGAAGCCATACCGGCTTCTCCGCTCGATTTGGACATCTAGGGAAAATGAACCTCGACCTTACAGTACACTACAATAAATGAACACTACCCTTTGGTAGTGTGTTTCTGTGAGTGAGTAAGGTTCCAGGGCTCCACGGGGTAGAGGATTGGGTTAGGGTAGGCAACAGCGCGAGTGATGTTTTTATTATCGCAAACGTTTAAACGCTATGGTGGTCTTCGTAGGTGGTCCGGGCCGCCAGAGTTTTTCAATGCGCCCATGGGTTCGTAGCTGTTATTTAAATATTTCACTAATGGAATTTAACACTAATTCGTATCGTACATAATCAGGAGGAATCAAACCTCTCCGCCTTCAATGACTACAGCAAGTTTCTGGAGGGTGGCCTGGGGCAAGCAGAGCTGGTGGGGGCCGCTGGCTGGCAGCCGCCATGGCGAGCGCCGTTGCAACGCAAGGCCCCCTTCTATCCAGGCGACGACATCTACCACGCAGACACATGGCGCGAACTTGAGGTGGGTGCTTAGAGTTCTAAAACGCGGCTGTGAAGTAAGCGCAATTCGCAGCGCAGTAAACGAAATGTAGGATGACTTTAAACCCGCGCGGTAATATCACAGGACTGCAAATTGGGCTCGCTACTTACTTCACAACCGCCTAAAAGTTTGAATCGTACTAAACATCGCTGTCTTTAAATACTGTAGCTAGTTGCTTTACGATGTTCCGAATCAGCAGATTCAGTTGGGCTACCGTTAGCTTTTCACTGTCGATGCTGTAAAAATACATGGCGAGACCTTGAGTTGGCTAACTGCATGTTAACCTTTTCGCCATCAATGACAGTACACTGATTATAGAGCATAGAGCTAGCTGCGGGAGGGTAATGTTTTTAGCAGCAGTTTATGTTTTTGATTGTAAATACAATGGTTTTGTTAAAATTCAGGTTACAGACGTGGTGGGAGGTGCAGGCTACAATGCTTCCGTGACTCCGCATGGCACTGTCTGTCTGAGACTACGAGATAGAGTCAAGTAAGTTCAATTCATTGTATTGTATTGACAGACAATTTTTACTGTAGAGAATTGGAAATATAATATTTTTCCTAAAGACTAAGCAGGATTTAAGCCATAATATTTTTCTTAAAATCTAAGCAGGCTTTAACCAGATTTTTAAAACAAGCTTCCTTCAAGTCTACTGAATTCAACGAATTAGAAATGACTCCATTAAAACACATCGACTCTCGAGTCTTATTAACCCTTGAACATTGAAGGACTTAAAACTATTAATCATCCATTTTCGAGAGCTATGCTAAGCTAAAAGCTATCTTAGGTAATTAATTACTCATTAAAGAACTAAAATACATTCTATTCAATTCAAACATTTAGATTATAACTCTGTAATAATGATAATGTTTCTTTCTACAGATGTAATAATAATCATTCATTCTTCACTTTTTTTGTATTATTTTAATTTTGATTTTGATATATTAGGGTAAGGCCGTTTATTTGGCCTCATACAACATAAAAGCAACATAAAATTATAAATTACCGGGTAACTTAAAAGTAACTTAAAAGGTTTTAACGGCATATCTCGGGAACTAGAGCGGAGGAGGAGCTCGATGGCGCAAGTGGTTAGCGCGTTCGGCTGCGATCGTTGAAGTTAAACAACTTTCGCAGTGGTCGGTCATTGGATGGGTGACCAAAAATTTACTATCTCGAGTTCCTCCGTGCTTCGGAAGGCACGTTAAGCCGTTGGTCGCGGCTGCATCTGCAGTCGTTAGCACCCGCCAATCCGCACTGGGCCCGCGTGGTGGGTCATGGCCCAATCTCCCTATTCTATCTATAGGGAAGGCCTGTGCCCCAGCAATGGGGACATTAATAGGCTGATGATGAAGGGCATATCTACATCTTTCATTAGTTTTAGAAAATTTTATGTAATCATTTTTTTATAGAGCTATCTTAAATAAAACTCGGTTTCATTTTTAAAGTTTATTTTGTCTGTAATTAATAATGTAATAAGCCATATGTCCTAAAATCAAAATAAGACATGAAACTAAAATTTAACAACATTCATAACCTGCATAACGTGCACACATGTATATATTTTTTTTTATCCACACCAATTAGCCTAGTCCTAACCCCGAAGTAAGCACTGTAAGGCTTGTGTTATGGGATACTAGGGTAAGATAATTTATAATTTTATGTTGCTTTTATTCACGGAGATTCCGTAACATCCGAATCTTTTTTATAGTATCCAATAGGAACCACAAACTTTTCTGGAATAATCTATATATATAAAAATGAAACCCGTTTTCCGTTGTCACGACATAACATGAAAACGGCTTGACCGATTTGGCTGTTTTTTTTTTGTAGTTTTCTAATACTCTGTACAAGGTTCTTACGGAAAAAAATATAAAGAAAATCCCAAGGGGATAAAATAAGGAATGAAAGTTTGTATGAAACTTTATCAATTTTAAACCGATCGGGCTGAGACTTTGCATGCAGGTATAAGAAGAATCATAGATGAATGTCATTGTGTATAATACAAGCCTGAGAACAAAAACTGTAGTCTACACTTCAGCTCTACACCTAAGCGAAGCGAGGGCGGGCCGCTAGTAGTATATATAATGTGTTATTCCAGTGCCTCTTATATCTACCCACCAAATTTTATCCAAAGTCGTTGAGGCCTGAAAGCGAAACAAATATTCAATCAACCAGGTCAACGTATGGATGTTTGTTCCCCTTTCCTGCTTCGGCTGAACGGAATTGGATAGAACTAGGAAAGTAGACATATGACACACTGGATTTATAAAAAAGGCTTCCGTTTGTCCCGAATAAATCATTTGTTTCCCGTGGTCCACCTCGTAGTCCACCTAGGTGGACCACGGGGATTATTTTTTTCCCGTGGTCTACCCGCATAGCCATATGTTTCTTACGGTAAATTATGAATGTTCTTATGAACAAAAAAGCATTTACAATTTTTAAAAGTCGCGTATATTTTAAAATCATTTAACTAGCGTAGTTTTTCTAAAGCGATGCCTATAGAAATATTGTTGTTAATTAACTGCATCTGAATATCTTTTACATAATCATTGTTTTCAATTAATTTGCGCCTTTTTGATTTTGCAATTCTTATTGTTCTCAAGACACTCAAGAGCCGTAATAAATTGAGTAAGAGTCAGGTGGACCACGGATAAAAATTATTTCCCAGGTGAACTACGGGGGAAAAAAAATACCCGTGGTCCACCTGGTGAACCACGGGAAAGAAATAATCCCCATGGTCCACCTGGGTGGGCTACGAGGTGGACCACGGGAAACAAAGGGAATAAATGAGTACAATTTTGCGGGATAGCATAAAAATGTCGCAGGCAGAAGCTAGTTTTATATTATATATATTTAATAGCAATACATTACAAATTTTATTAGAATAAATAGAACATAGCTTTTTTCATAATTGTACTTAACAAAACATAGAAAAAGGCTCGTATATAATTTTTAACAACTTATCCTAAAGCATTTCAACAGGCTGTGTCTATTATACTTTAATATAAATGTTGTATTAAAATTGTTACTACTACCAAGGGGGCATCGCCAATACAAAAATGTAGCCAAATGTAAAGCTCCCAAAGTCCGCCATGCATTCATTTGACTTGTTTGCCTGACCAAAGACTTATCCATGCTTTATAAAATACGACAACACTTTTTTCTTATAAAAAAAATCTTCTAATGGATCTTTTATTATTTCCGATTCGATTATCTTAGCTTAATCCTTTTACTCTCAATCCTTCTCTTTCAACCTAACCCCCCCCCCTACTCTCCCTTATTTCTCTCTTTCTTTTAATGCTCCATTCTTTCCCCTGGCAGTATACTTAGCACCCTTGGGCTGAGAGTAGAAGTTTGTCTTGCCAACTCTGGTTACTACAAGCATCAAAAAACTTCTTAACAAAAAATAATAATCTATCTGACATGCATGGCACCTACTCCAAATAGTAATTTAACTAAAGATAATAAAGCTTTATTATTGTTTGTTTCTCGGCGGTTTAAGTTTTGTAATAAAGTTTTTTTTAGTGGGTGTGATTATTGTTACGGCAGCAAAGTCTATGAGTTGGCAATCCACCCCTATTTTCCCACCCTTGGCCTACCCAAGGGTATTTCTGTTTCTATATTTATATGGGAATAACTTCTCGGAGTATAACCCTTACTAATAAAAATAGGATTATAAAAATCGGACTAATAATAAGTATTGTCACACAGTAAAAACGTTTCTTTTAGAATGCTGGCCACAAAAAAGTTTATTGAATTCGAATTTCGAATTGTTCATAAAAATAAAAATGTACACTTTTTAGAATTTCACTCATTTTTAAATATGGAGTGGACGCTTAAAGACCGTGTTGCAATTATTGCGCTGCATCGTTGCGGTTACGCGCCAATTCAAATTTTTGACACACTGAAAAATTTAAATATAAAACAAATGATTCGTTTATCGTACCATCAAACGATACAATGAAGACTCTAGTGTAGATGACAGGTCAAGAAGTGGTCGGCCTCGGGCTGTTAGGCAGCAGTGATAAAAGCTGTGAAGGCGCGAATTCAAAGAAATCCCAAACGTAAGCAGAAACTGTTGGCCCTTCAGATGGGGCTAAGCAGAACCACGGTGAAAAGCATGTTAAACGAAGACTTAGGGCTTCGTGCATATCGAATAAAAATAGGACATCGTTTGAATGCTCGTCTAATGGACCTGAGACTGAAGAGATGCCGCGCTTTGTTGAAGCGGTACGCGGGAAATAAATATCGGGAAATTCTTTTTTCGTAGAAGAGCTACAACAAACAAAATGATAAGGTGTACGCACACAGTAGTGAAGAAGCAAGCAACCGTATTCCGCGTGTCCAACGAGGTCATTTTCCATCCTCGCACATGGTATGGTTGGGAGTTTCTTATTGGGGCTTAACAGAGGTACATTTTTGTGAGAAAGGTGTAAAAACGAATGCAGTTGTGTATCAAAATACAGTCCTGACGAACCTTGTGGAACCGGTTTCTCATACCATGTTCAATAACAGGCACTGGGTATTCCAACAAGATTCGGTGCCAGCTCATAGAGCGAAGAGCACACAAGACTGAGAAAATCTGAGAGAAATCGACTTCATCCGGCACGAAGACTGGCTCTCCTCCAGTCCAGATTTGAGTGCGTTAGATTACAAGATATGGCAACAATTGGAGGAAAAGGCGTGTTCAAAGCCTCATCCCAATTTGGAGTCACTCAAGACATGCTTGATTATGGCAGCCGCCGATATTGACATGGACCTCGTTCGTGCTGCGATAGACGACTGGCCGCGCAGATTGAAGGCTTGTATTCAAAATCACGGAGGTCATTTTGAATAAACTTTATTGTCATAAGAATCTATGTTTTGTTAAGTTCATTTTGGTATATAAATGTGTTGTCATATTTTATAAAGCATGGATAAGTCTTTGATCAGGCAAGCAAGTCAAATGAATGCATGGCGGACTTTGGGAGCTTTACATTTGGCTACATTTTTGTATTGGCGATTCCCCCTTGGTAGTAGTAACAATTTTAATACAACATTTATATTAAAGTATATTAGACACAGCCTGTTGAAATGCTTTAGGAAAAGTTGTTAAAAATTATATACGAGCCTTTTTCCTGATCCAGAGTGGACATGACGATTGACGGCGCAGTGCGAGTGACCAACGTGAAGAACAACATAATTCTCGCCCTGTCCCGCTCCGGAGCGGCTGCTGCACTCATTCACCCCAACGGTCGCATCTACCACTACGGTTCCCGGGTCGAGATTCAAGCACGCCACCAGCAAGGAAACAACAAGTCAGTTTAAACCAACACTTTAAATCTAAATAAATTAGGACTACGTACAGGACAAACCCAGACATAACTTTTGTGACAAGTATTTTTTTCCGGAATACCTAGGTTTCTTCTCAGCTTGTAGTGTAATGCCCTGTATAATGTTATTGACCAGCCCGGTAATAAAATTTTAAGCTTTCTCTACTGGTGAAAGAATCAACTATCAAATGTATATTTAAAAATATAAAAAAACATTGGCTGTTTCTTCACTGTAGTTGTTTGGTAACTTTTGCACTTTGTCTAGATATGCGAAGATGTGGTACAAGGGAGTTTCGTTCACCGCGGAACAATGTGCGCTGGTGTACCTAGTGGACGCGGCTGGGACACGAACCACCACGGACACCTTTCTCGACATGAGCCAGGACTTCACACTCAATGTATTTTACAAGTAAGGCAACGTTTTCATTATAATAAATAAATAAATATTTCCAACACTCACACCAATTAGCGTGTGAGCTAATTGGAGCGCTGGGTCCAATGCGGAATGGCCCCAGTTCGGTACTAGTCGAGTTCGGTACTAGTCTAGTTCGGTACTAGTCTAGTTCGGTACTAGTCTAGTTCGGTACTAGCCTAGTTCGGTACTAGCCTAGTTCGGTACTAGCCTAGTTCGGTACTAGCCTAGTTCGGTACTAGCCTAGTTCGGTACTAGCCTAGTTCGGTACTAGCCTAGTTCGGTACTAGCCTAGTTCGGTACTAGTCTAGTTCGGTACTAGCCTAGTTCGGTACTAGCCTAGTTCGGTACTAGCCTAGTTCGGTACTAGCCTAGTTCGGTACTAGCCTAGTTCGGTACTAGCCTAGTTCGGTACTAGCCTAGTTCGGTACTAGCCTAGTTCGGTACTAGCCTAGTTCGGTACTAGCCTAGTTCGGTACTAGCCTAGTTCGGTACTAGCCTAGTTCGGTACTAGCCTAGTTCGGTACTAGCCTAGTTCGGTACTAGCCTAGTTCGGTACTAGCCTAGTTCTAGTGGTACGAGTCTGGTTCGGTACGAGTCTGGTTCGGTACGAGTCTGGTTCGGTACGAGTCTGGTTCGGTACGAGTCTGGTTCGGTACGAGTCTGGTTCGGTACGAGTCTGGTTCGGTACGAGTCTGGTTCGGTACGAGTCTGGTTCGGTACGAGTCTGGTTCGGTACGAGTCTGGTTCGGTACGAGTCTGGTTCGGTACGAGTCTGGTTCGGTACGAGTCTGGTTCGGTACGAGTCTGGTTCGGTACGAGTCTGGTTCGGTACGAGTCTGGTTCGGTACGAGTCTGGTTCGGTACGAGTCTGGTTCGGTACGAGTCTGGTTCGGTACGAGTCTGGTTCGGTACGAGTCTGGTTCGGTACGAGTCTGGTTCGGTACGAGTCTGGTTCGGTACGAGTCTGGTTCGGTACGAGTCTGGTTCGGTACGAGTCTGGTTCGGTACGAGTCTGGTTCGGTACGAGTCTGGTTCGGTACGAGTCTGGTTCGGTACGAGTCTGGTTCGGTACGAGTCTGGTTCGGTACGAGTCTGGTTCGGTACGAGTCTGGTTCGGTACGAGTCTGGTTCGGTACGAGTCTGGTTCGGTACGAGTCTGGTTCGGTACGAGTCTGGTTCGGTACGAGTCTGGTTCGGTACGAGTCTGGTTCGGTACGAGTCTGGTTCGGTACGAGTCTGGTTCGGTACGAGTCTGGTTCGGTACGAGTCTGGTTCGGTACGAGTCTGGTTCGGTACGAGTCTGGTTCGGTACGAGTCTGGTTCGGTACGAGTCTGGTTCGGTACGAGTCTGGTTCGGTACGAGTCTGGTTCGGTACGAGTCTGGTTCGGTACGAGTCTGGTTCGGTACGAGTCTGGTTCGGTACGAGTCTGGTTCGGTACGAGTCTGGTTCGGTACGAGTCTGGTTCGGTACGAGTCTGGTTCGGTACGAGTCTGGTTCGGTACGAGTCTGGTTCGGTACGAGTCTGGTTCGGTACGAGTCTGGTTCGGTACGAGTCTGGTTCGGTACGAGTCTGGTTCGGTACGAGTCTGGTTCGGTACGAGTCTGGTTCGGTACGAGTCTGGTTCGGTACGAGTCTGGTTCGGTACGAGTCTGGTTCGGTACGAGTCTGGTTCGGTACGAGTCTGGTTCGGTACGAGTCTGGTTCGGTACGAGTCTGGTTCGGTACGAGTCTGGTTCGGTACGAGTCTGGTTCGGTACGAGTCTGGTTCGGTACGAGTCTGGTTCGGTACGAGTCTGGTTCGGTACGAGTCTGGTTCGGTACGAGTCTGGTTCGGTACGAGTCTGGTTCGGTACGAGTCTGGTTCGGTACGAGTCTGGTTCGGTACGAGTCTGGTTCGGTACGAGTCTGGTTCGGTACGAGTCTGGTTCGGTACGAGTCTGGTTCGGTACGAGTCTGGTTCGGTACGAGTCTGGTTCGGTACGAGTCTGGTTCGGTACGAGTCTGGTTCGGTACGAGTCTGGTTCGGTACGAGTCTGGTTCGGTACGAGTCTGGTTCGGTACGAGTCTGGTTCGGTACGAGTCTGGTTCGGTACGAGTCTGGTTCGGTACGAGTCTGGTTCGGTACGAGTCTGGTTCGGTACGAGTCTGGTTCGGTACGAGTCTGGTTCGGTACGAGTCTGGTTCGGTACGAGTCTGGTTCGGTACGAGTCTGGTTCGGTACGAGTCTGGTTCGGTACGAGTCTGGTTCGGTACGAGTCTGGTTCGGTACGAGTCTGGTTCGGTACGAGTCTGGTTCGGTACGAGTCTGGTTCGGTACGAGTCTGGTTCGGTACGAGTCTGGTTCGGTACGAGTCTGGTTCGGTACGAGTCTGGTTCGGTACGAGTCTGGTTCGGTACGAGTCTGGTTCGGTACGAGTCTGGTTCGGTACGAGTCTGGTTCGGTACGAGTCTGGTTCGGTACGAGTCTGGTTCGGTACGAGTCTGGTTCGGTACGAGTCTGGTTCGGTACGAGTCTGGTTCGGTACGAGTCTGGTTCGGTACGAGTCTGGTTCGGTACGAGTCTGGTTCGGTACGAGTCTGGTTCGGTACGAGTCTGGTTCGGTACGAGTCTGGTTCGGTACGAGTCTAGTTCGGTACGAGTCTAGTTCGGTACGAGTCTAGTTCGGTACGAGTCTAGTTCGGTACGAGTCTAGTTCGGTACGAGTCTAGTTCGGTACGAGTCTAGTTCGGTACGAGTCTAGTTCGGTACGAGTCTAGTTCGGTACGAGTCTAGTTCGGTACGAGTCTAGTTCGGTACGAGTCTAGTTCGGTACGAGTCTAGTTCGGTACGAGTCTAGTTCGGTACGAGTCTAGTTCGGTACGAGTCTAGTTCGGTACGAGTCTAGTTCGGTATGGTCCCAGTGTGGAGGCTAGGTTCATCTCCATAGTTCCCGGTCGGTGAAAAAGAATGTCCGTTCCAATAAAAACAGTGTATTTATAAAAAACAATGAAATTACATTTAACAGTTTTGCACTATTATGGTTCTAAGCAAAAAATATATTCTTTGTTATCAGTTCATTACTGATGCATGATAACTTTGCTACGTATAGTTTAAAGAAAAATATATTTTGAAAACCAGGTTAAATTCTATTCCGCCTGAAAGGCACCCTTTCTTTTGCTAAGCCATTATAAGCAAAATCTGTTATTTTATTTCTTACGTGCCCGCGGTTACACCGTTAACTTTAGTTTTATGAGGAATCAATAGACATCATAGACAGCAATCAAATATTCTTCCAGGATGATAATTATCCTATGTTTTTAATACTTGTTATAGCTAACCTAGTGTGCCCAATTTCATGCAAAAGCTTTCAGCAGTGTTTGCGTGATTGAGTAACAAACATCCAAACTTTCACAATTATATTTGTAATCTTATTAAGTAACATTATTTTGTATAGAAAAGCTTACTTGTTTCAGCGAATCTCGGCATGGTCCATCGTTCGTGAACGAGGCTCTGTCACTACTGCAGGCAGCGCAGTACTGGCTGACAGATGATGGCATCGACAATTGGATCATCAACAACGTGCGTGTCAGCCAGACTGCCGATGGCTTAGTTAGGTATAGCAATACTGTGAATACAACTAAAAAAAAAGGAACCGTGAGCGTCTCGGAACACTCGGTTGGAAGGAAGTTTAAAATTTACATAAATATGTAATACAGTTTATACGTTTTGGGGTTCTGTGCTCCTATGGTAAAAACTGGATCCTATTACTAAGACTCTAATTTAACCGGCTCATTAATAAAGCCTCTTTAAAGCGAGGCTTAAAAATTAAAATTGTAAGTAAAGTGAGTAATTTTTTTGCGTAATTGTGCCACCTGATATCTAAGAATTGCACCCTCGATACAAGTTAGCGAATTCATTGTACATACTAATACTACTAGATTATCGATATTTTGTCTATCAGAAAATAAGAAAGGTCTGGCGAGCTTGGGATTTTGTATTATATGAATTGGATGAAATATATATTCCTGTAAATTTTTATATTTATTCAAATGTAAACATTTAGTAATATCTCAATGATCACGAAGCCTTACTTAAAAACATATTGTTTTCAAGTGTTTTGACGTGACAACGTCTTAAATTAGGTTGCGGCTGGGAGTCACTTATGAAAAAGTGTAACGCTCGGTAACGTTACGATGAGTCTCTCGTGTTAAGTTTAAGTTTACATGTACAATGTTTTAGTAAACAAAATATATTTCTATAGTTAAAATTTGTGCAATTCTTATTTTCATTCAATTCCTTGTTCCTATTGTGCAATTTAATTATATTCATATCAATAAATATTCTACCGAGAAAAAGACGTTGTCACGTAAAATCTTCGCCCGTAAAACCGACTTTACAGGCAACCATTTTTTTTTAATTAAAACGACACCGCCTATCTAGGTGGTGTTTAGCTCAGATTACAATACAAAACCTTTCGTCGTGTTTCAGTGTGAACATTTTTAGAACAACGACCTAGAGTATAACGGGTCCTTAGTCACTCCTACCCAGGTCATAGCTCGAATTTGACGACGACGCATAGACGAGATTCCTGTTAGTTATGACAACGAGATATCCGTAGATTAACCTCAGACCAAATAAAAATGTACGTTTCGTTGTACACGTGTGCGTGTTTTTTTGCACGTAAGTGCTTACCATGGATAAAGGATGTCTATGGTAATTGGAGCGTATAGGGCGAGGCTTAGTTTAAACCGTCTTTACTGTGTTGTTCGCAGAGTTGATTTAGGACACAATCTTTTTTCGTCAGAATAAATTATACGATGTTTAATCCTAATGAAAAAGGATAGAAAAAACTTAGGTAATTTTTTACAATATTTGTAACATCTACAAAAATAATAATAAGCTTAATCTAACGTTATGTTCTTCTTTTATAAAAAAAGCTATTTTCATCATGAATCTGGTCAATGGATCTTTGGTGATTGATCCTGATGTTTATGGCTGCTGCACACAATGCATACCGAGCGGCACGTGTCGCAGAAACTTGGACAAAGTCGTTGAGCATCACTGAAATGTCCTATCAGCCATTCGGTCAGGCGAAGCCGCCTACACTTTGTGTAGAAGCCATTATCCTTGGCCATAAAACTAAATCCTAAATCTAGAATTTCCGCTTTTGACATAAAAAATAAAATATAAAAGCCTTTTTGAATTGCATGCACCATTAAAATTAATCAAAATTAAACATAAACCTGCTCCCTGGATTAACAATGAAATTAAAGAATTTATGGCACTGAGGGATAAAGCCAAACGTAGGTTAAAAAGTCGCCCCTCTGATGACAACCTGGTTCGCTATAAAGCCCTGCGCAATCGCTGCAGTCGTATGTGTAGAGACGCTAAGAGACGATTCTTCCATGATTCTCTGTCTAACCGTAATACAGTGGATACTTGGCGATTCCTTCGGGCAGTCGGTGTGGGCAAACCTTGTTCTTCGGTCCCTATGGGCACTGACTTAAACGCTTTCAATAAGCATTTTTCTCTCCCTCCAGTTAATATTAACAGTTGCGACAAAGCTGTTACTCTCAAGGAACTGTCTGAACTTGCTAGACCCAACTGTCAACTATTCGACTTCTTGATAGTTTCTGAGAAAGACGTCAAAGATTCTATATTATCTATATCTTCTGAGTCCGTGGGCGAGGATAATTTGTGCTCGAGGAGGTTTACTCCTATTCGTCCTACTCTACTCCCCGTATTATCTCACTTTAACTACTCCTTGTCATCCAAATGCTTTCCTCAAATTCGGAAAAAGGCTCACATTATTCCTTTACCAAAGATTCATAATCCTTCATTACCCTGTCACTTTCGTCCTATTTCTATTTTACCTTTTCTATCCAAAGTTCTCGAGCACATAGTTCACGAGCAAGTTTCCCATTTTCTTCTTTCGAATAACCTAAACAGCTTTCAATCCGGGTTTCGGTCATGTCACAGCACGGTCTCTGCCTTAGTGAATGTCACTGATGATATACGCTGGGCAATGGAAAACAAAGCGTTAACTGTCCTAGTATTGCTAGACTTTAGCAATGCATTTAATTCCGTCGACTTTGATATTCTCCTTGCCATTCTTCGTTCCGTAAATGTCTACTTCTGCTCTTTCTTGGTTCGATTCATATCTTCAGGGTCGCTCACAGAATGTTCGCCTTGATGATTCAACCTCTGATGGGTGTGACCTCTGTGTCGGCGTACCTCAAGGAGGTGTTCTCTCACCACTCCTATTCTCTATTTTCATTAATTCTGTTACTAGAGTAATTTCCTCCAAGTTTCATCTCTACGCAGACGATTTGCAGCTTTACCGTCATTTCAATATTGATGAAACGGACTCCACGATAGCAGCCATTAATGAAGACCTAAACCGTATTAGTACTTGGGCACAATTTTATGGTCTCTCAGTTAATCCAAGTAAATCTCAGACAATCATTATAGGGAGTAGGTATATGTCACATGCATGTCGTTCTTTTCACTTGCCGCCAGTATCCATAGGTGGAATCAATATCCCTTATAGCGATACGGTGAAAAATCTCGGCGTCACAATTGATTCCAACCTCTCATGGACAGCTCACGTCGCTAACGTTAGTCGTAAAATGTATTTTTCACTTCACACATTAAAATGTTTGCAAAATTTCCTTCCCTTACATACTAAAATTGCCCCTGCACAATCTCTTATTCTCCCACTTCTCGACTATGCCGATGTTTGTTATTTAGACGCTACGGAGGTATTGCTTGATAAACTTGAGCGCCTGCAGAAACTTTGCTATCCGATTCATCTTTGGGCTTCGTTAGTATGATCACGTCTCCAACTTTCGAAAGGAACTCAAGTGGCTTCCCATACGTCTGAGGAGGAATGTCAGAATCCTTTGTTTCCTCTTCAATATCCTATACAATCCATCATATCCTTACTATCTTCGGGAGAGGTTTTCTTTCACCCACTCGCCTAATGTTCCTTGCAGGTCCCATCTCATAAAACCTAACTAAAACATAAAACTATTCATAAAACCGAATTTGCATCATACTCTTTCACGGTACATGCCGTCCGCTTGTGGAACTCGCTGCCAGCAGGAATCAGAGACAGTCCAACTGTTGCTACATTTAAAAAACGGTTGAAAGAACACTATCTATCCTCTTGAAACACTGTTTCCGAACTGTATTGCTTCTCCTGTTTAACACTTCTATATTTTATTTTAGTATTATATGTTTATTTGTATATCTATGTAGATATATATATAGGTTTTGTTTATGTAAGTATTGTATTTTGTTATTTATATTCAGGAGGCACACACTGACGACCCTTTTTTTTGTTTTTTCCTTTCGCGGGCCTGCTGGAAGAAATTTCAATATGAAATTAGCAGTGCCCTTGTACAAATTTCTTGTTCCTGTTCTTATCTGTTTTATTGTGTGTGTACTAAATTATTATGTGAATAAATAAAAATAAATAAAAAAAACAGCCTTTAATTCATTCTGGCGATAAAGGAATCTAATGAATGTGTCTTAAATCGCAGAGTTACATCTATACTTTACAATGTACATACTTATATGAAATGCGCAGAATACATCGCTGCAGTCACAAGTACCAGTTACGCACGAGCCCCAGCAACGGGTCGGCGTCGATCACAAGTCCCTTTCTGCACTGCACGGCTTCTCTAGGACAGACTCAGCATCTCTTCGTGAGGTTTGTCAAATTCTAACTATTTAAAGCCCTTTTGATGATCCCCTAGGGGAGTCTAAGCGTGGATTTCAGGATTTACTCTAGCGCGGCAGATTAACATAAGGGGAGCAAGCTTGCAACTTGTGAAGTACCATACCTTAGCCCTTTATATAATGTCGAACGTCCAGGGCAGCCGATCAGATAAGTAAAAAAAAAAACAATCGTTGCGGAAACTCGCGCGTCAGATTAAGGTACGACAAGTTAATTACATACAGAAGTGTGTTCTGCGTTTGTAAGCTCAATGCTTAGCGAAGATCCTTTATCATATTCCGAGGCTATCAGCAGAGAAGCCAAAAAGGATTGGATAGCCGCGATAGAAGACGAGTATACTGCTTAAATAAAGAAAGAGACATGGAAACTGATTGATCTACCAAAGAATAAACCATGTATCCTTTGCAAGTGGGTGTACAAATTAAAACGCGATGCCCTTGGCAACGTGGTAAAATATAAGGCTCGTTTAGACGCTAAAGGGTTTAAGCAGACTTATGGAGTAGACTATCATGAAACCTTTTCTCCAGTTGTTCGGAATTCCTCTTTACAAACACTGTTGGCCATAGCTACTCAACACAATTACACATGAATGTCGATACAGTATTTTTAAAAGGAGATTTGGAAGAGGAAGTCTTTATGAGTCAACGAAGGTGTGTTTGCTCAAACGTTCACTCTATGGACTCAAGCAAGCTCCTAGAGCATGGAACATTAAGTTGAAGGCAAGAAGCTTATATACAACACTGGAGATTGCATGTAGAACTTCTGTATGAAGATGAGTTCATTAACCCCATGATATGTTTTTTATCTCTCTCACACACTATCTGAAATTACCATGTTAAATACAAGAAATTCCAATCAGAAAGTGAAAATAAACAGAATTATGCAAGATATCAATCAGTTTTACAATCTCCAGAAGTCCTACTCTTGTATTACTATTATAAGATGAGTGTGACAAATTCTAACCAACTACTTTGAAATCAATATTTAAAACTAAATAATAAATACGCCCTTTATTTCCCTGTTTGGTGGTTGCTACCATTTTGGTATAATAGCAACACTAATTAAAAAATCAACTGAAGAATATCCCCATCTGTCAAAAAAAATCTACCGCTTCGAATGTTTAGATTATTATTAAAAAGTGTTAAATTGTTCAATTTGCTATTTATAATGTGTATTGTGTTGTGTGAGATTGCAGAAGTGTTTGGGAACCAAATTCCAGCACTAAATTTCACAGGTAAGTCTATTACATTACGCCAATACCGAAATAAACATATTCCTATATTTTTATGTTGTAATCATAATAAAACGTTAGTATTTATAAATCATAGTGTCCTGAGGCTATAAATTAACGTTATTCTTGTTTTATTCACTACATTTGGTACCATATTCAGCAGTTTATTAAATTAAAATAATATAAATTTTGGTTTTGTAGGGTAACCATTATCACTACACTTGAGATATTTTGAGAAAGTTAAAATACATAAGTATTATTGTAAATATTAATTATTATGAAAATAAGTTTATAATAAATACTGTAGTAGATCATGTTGATTAGATGTAGAAAACCTATTTAATAACAGCTATCTAGCAGCGGTCTTATACCTTTGTTTATGTTTCAGCTTCCCGAAAGATGTCATTAAAAGAAATTCTTGGTTGTCCATTATACTGTCACAAACGCTCTCGAAACGGAACCGCGAATGTGCTAGAGATCGAATTTGCCAGAGCACCGCGGGTCGCAATAGAAGTCCGAGTAAGGCGGCTCATTCTAAAATGAGCCTTATGCAGTGCGACGTAAAGGAGAAAGTGCAACGACATCTGCACTTGTTTACAAGTTATGCGTGTTACTTGCGTAGGTATTTCGTACTCGCGGGTGCTAGGTAATTCTCAATTTAACAGGTACTTTCTAGAACTTCGACTTTCGACGACCTCCGTGGTCGAGTGGTTTGTACGCCGGGTTTCATAATGTCGCCGACTCGAGAGGTCCCGGGTTCAAATCCCGGTGGGGACAGATGTTTGTGTGATGAATACGAGCATTTGTACTCCAGTCATGGATGTTTAATATGTATTTCTATAAAAAAAAATATACTTATATATGTACAGTTTATGTATTCTATCCGTTACCCTAGTATCCCATAACACAAGCCTTATAGTGCTTACTTTGGGTCTAGGCTAATTGGTGTGAGTGTTGGAAATATTTATTTATTTACTTTCTAGAATGCATCGATCGGCGTATATAAGGGCGATTGGCGCCGCGCAGAGACAGTTGAGTTTCAACAGCGATTTCGGAGCGAATCCAAAGGCGATCAAAGTGCAACAAAAGTGTTCAAGTGAGATTGTTTATAGACTTGTATAGTGAAATACAGTGTTTAGTGAGTGTTTTGTAATTAACATTGTGTGTTAATTGTGTGAACTGTGTGGTGAATAAAGAACTCAATCGTGAACTGGTATATAATTTCGAACCCCATCCCGACACGTAACAATACCATTAAAAGGTCAATTTTATTTATCAGCCAAAATATGTAGCTTAGAGATTCTAGTCCATTCTTAGTAAAAAGCATTTCTGGCGATTTTAGAAAGGGTTTGCATATTCTTTCTCGTTAATTTTTTTATAAACGTTTTAGACATTGCTTAATATAAGACGCATCTAATATGAATTAAATGTTTGTACTTGTGAATTTTATTACTATTAAATAATGTGTCCACAAGTTCCTATCAACTCCAACGCTTTGATTTATAAATTGTTTAAAGACGATACCAGTAAGTATGTATCCTAAACGTATATTCCAACATGGTCACCCTTAGAAAGAGATAACAAACATATGTGACGTCATTCAAGGCCATATTTTTTCACTTCAAGGTATTGTTTGCACTGCAATCTCCAGTGTTGTATCTATGCTTCTTGGTTGAAGGAGACCTTATCGGTCATAGGTTTCGAGCAAACTCCATCAGAACCTTGCATATTTACGAAAAAGTTTAATGATGAAACTCTTTTAATTGCAGTTTTCGTTGATGATTTAGTTTGTCTATATCAAAATGATATGACATTTGACAACTTCAAGTCTGACATCAGTAAATATTTTTCTTGCAAAGATTTAGGAATAATGGAATTTTGTCCCGGATTAAATATAGAAGAGAACTTATATCGAGAAAATATTGGCGAAATTGGGAATGACAGAATGTAAAGCTTCGTCGGTACCCTTGTCGAAGAGAATTGAGGTTTCTAATGAAAATGAAATTTCTAAAGTCGATTGCCCGTGCCAAGCTTTAACAGGTTGCTTGATGTTTCTAGCTGTGAATACTCGGCCGGACATCGCATTTACTGTAACTTACCTCAGCCAATTTAAGTCGAGATATACTCGGGAGCATTTTAATATGGCTAAACAATGCTTTAGATATTTAAAAGTTATTATGGATGTCGATATCTGTAACAGGAAAAAGAGGACAAATGTACCATTGAAAGGCTATTCTGACGCTGATTTGGGTAATTCTTTATTGGATAGGCTTTCGTATACTGGCTACTTCTTCGAATTAGCAGGAGGGCCAATAGCTTGGGAGTCTCGTAAGCAGCCGACTGTTGCAGAGTATATGGACTCTAGCTAGCGCTGCAAAAGAAGCTTGTTACCTAAGACGCCTTATTACAGAGTTAACTGGTAAGGTCCCAACTGTTACTATATTTTCGGATAGTCAAAGTGCACACAAACTTGCTATGAATTCAATCTACCACAGTAGGACTAAACATATCGATGTAAGATTTCATTTTATAAGTGAAAAGGTTAATGATAAAACCATTGAACTTGAATACTTATGTTCTGATATGTTACCTGCTGATGTGTTAACAAAAACTTTAGTCAAAATGAAACATTTAAATGGTTTGAATTATATGAATTTAAGGTAATTTTAAAGAAAAGTTTACTAGAAATTTTTTTTTTTTCTAGTAAACTTTTCTTTAGATTTAAACATCTAGCAGTTGAATGCTTAAAAATAAATAAAAACATAACTATAATTGCTATTTCTTCTTTCAAATGTTTAATACTTGAAAAAGTATTCATTTGACATTGTGGGTTACCTACAATGCGAAGAGATGGCGCTGCCTTGCAGCTTAAGGCTAGGAAAATTTCGACGCGGCGAATAGGGCCGTGGTAGCATAATGGTCAGTGCATTCGCCCGGATTGCGAAGGGTGCGGGTTCGAGTCCCGTCCGCTGCCTGGTCCGCGTGGATTTTTTTCTAGTAAACTTTTCTTTACGATTTAAACATCTAGCAGTTGAATGCTTAAAAATAAATAAAAACATAAGGTAATTTTGTTTTTTGAGAGATTTTTTTTAATGTATTTATTTAAGTTGTTTTATTGTGTATAATTTAGATTGATGGGGCGTGTTGTAATACTGATTGCTACAATCTGAATTCTAAACTTAAAGTTGACGTTGGCACTTTGTAAATATTTGATGTAAAATTTTGACGTACTTCATAACAATATACTTTCCTGTTTACACGTATATTTTAACATTTATTTCATATTTGACTAGACTCCAGCTGTATACCATCTTATTTTATCACATTGGGCTCCCCTACTATTATCTCTAGATTCAGATTCCAATATAAATAAAGAACGTTTGACTTTGGAGTCCTGGAGGGACGTCACAAAAAGGCGTGAGAAAACTGTTATTTCTACCTATTGCATTGCACACTCATTGCATGCATGTATTGACTCTCATAACAATGATTAGTATGGCGTCAGTTTACGTGGTTTATGAATATCCTTTGTTGTGATTAATAATTGTTAATAAACATAAAATATTTGTGGGGTCTTTCTTTTATTGTGGGCTGAATAGAAGAAACAATTATTTTTAATATTATTTGTTTAGGGCGCGCCCGATCATCACCGGGCCGAAACGGCGATTCTATTCTAAAAGCTTCTGTTGATAATATTATAATTTGTGGTGTTCATAGGCGCGGTGAGCGGCGGATGCATTTTGACGGCAACTCTTTCATAGTGCGCAACGCCGGCCATTCCGCCGGCTTCGACGACAAGAACCAGCTCAAAGTGTACTGAGCCCTCATCAACACCATGTTGTACAGAACTAGTTGTCCAGTGCCAATACTTTCCCTTTATTTCCTTATTAATATTAGACTAAAACACGCGGACAAGTCTCTTTCCCAAAGTATTCCGATCGTAGGTATAATTTTATGCATTTGAACCTCGACCACATTCAGTATGTAAAGCTTTTCAGTTTTTTTGATTGCGTATTTTTTTTAAGTCGCATTTTTTCCTGTGTTACTGCCAGGCTCCCTTTTGTGTGTCGAGAACTAACTTCCAGACTGCGTCATTGTAGGTAATTAAGATTACAGTTTCATGAATAAGTGTGTTAGATCATCAAGTACTCGCGATGTGCATAGCCCTTTATTATGATACTTACGACATACGATTACAATGTTTATTTTATAAGTTTTTAGATTTCATTATGCAATAGTCTGTTTTCACGCAGTGTTTTGTCTTCGACTCTTTTTATTATTTATTTTTATGCTATGACGGTAGTTTTTTCTAATTTTCGTTTTTTAATCGATGTGCTGTTTGGTAAAACTAACATAACAATTCAATAGCAAACATTGCACTGTAAAGTAACTCACTGTTTAAACATATTAGTGTCTATATATAGATAGAGGATTGTTCAATTAAATGCACTTTAACAGCTCATTGAATTTGTTAAAATAATTTGAAGCTTATTCTAGTAGAACTATCAATTTGTTACCTTGATTTATGTAGTAGTATTGTTGTTGTGAATTTATCATATTGGCTTAGCATTAGCATGGCTTATATTCCCGTGGCGTATTTTTTGCAATTTGCATGCACGTATAATGGCTAGGTATAAAAATAAAAGGAATTTTATTTCTTTGAAATAACAATTGATTTTAAAATATATGTTAACATCATTATGGTAATATTATCTATACAGTATTGTGACTCGCCCCTGTCCTTGAAATAACTGCCTACGGCCGAGCGGGGCGTATCCACGCGGTAGGGCTGCCCGCCTACAGTATTTTAATTTCATCTACATAATTGAGTTTCTTTCTAGTTTTGTGATTGTAAATATGTTATTTAATATGTAAAAAAAATGTGAATGAATTAGGAAGTGTTACATAAAAACATGTTATTTTAAGTGTAATATTTAATAAAAACTAGCAAACCCGGCGAACTCCGTTTCGCCACCAGATGGCTTCGTTTTATGTAACGTTTTATGTAAAAAGAAGTTTTTTTTTTAATTTTTCCTGAATTTTCTTTGCTATAAACCTCACGGAGCCCGAGACCTTTCGAACGAATGCAAAACCGTGGAAATCGGTTCGTGCGTTCTGGAGTTATAGCGTCAGGAAGGAAAACCCGACTTATTTTTATATTAATAAAAATAGATTTGGGACAGAAAAATATTTACGCCTCGACTGAGACGTACGAAAAGCTTTATAATTAAATTTAATAGTATAATAAATACGCATTCGTATAAAAAAAATATATTAAAGAGTTCAAGCAACCAAAAATAGGACAATATCGACTATTGCTCTTTACTATATTAAATTATGTAGCTATCTACTTAATTCAATCAAATATTCACAATACAAACGTTTAAGCACGGCTAACTGCTTAAAAAACAATTCACACCGTTCGGTCGTCGCTGCGGCGCATTCGCGACTGGATGCCCACCGGTGCTACGCGAACTCGAGTGGCGTAGGTATGACACGCTTTCCGGCCGTTTGTATGAAGATAGAATACTGTATAGATAATATTACCGTGTCATCATGCATTAATGCACGAGGTCGGGATAATAGTCTGTAATAGGAATGAACAATTATCGTGATCTCCATTCATTAGTTTTTTACAATGAGAATAATGATGTGAAAATTTTTAAGTCTTGAGGTTGTAGGGCTATTGTTCTAGGTGCGCTAAATGAAAATGTCGTTGCCTAATCTAATCAAAGCATTGTATCTTGATCAATACTGTTATATCAAAGCAATTCTATCATATTTTTAACGTTCTACATAATTTCTTCGTTTGTATAAAGATCTAGGGGGACGTAGTAATAGAGGCTTGGCAGTGTGTTTAAAACGATCTGTTTACGGCGTACGTGATATTCGACTTGTCCAGAATGTTTCTTAATGTAAATAAAAAAAATTCAAGTATTCATTTTGCGAAAAGATTAATAAACCAAATTATAATCCCAGTATATATTTTATTTCGAGCCAGGCTGATCTACGAAGAGATGTGGCATTCAGTCGCAGAATGTACTTAGGTAAAACTATAGAAAACCTCATGAGATATGAGGATTTCTATAGGAGGACCTTTTAGAAGTAAAACCAATATTTCCACGAAAATAAATTATAATTTGACCAAAATGACATAGGTATTAAATTATAAAAAAAAACTTCTTTTCAATATTCCGTCAATTCAAACTAAATATTAGATTACAGGATTGACAGGGAATTTGAAGCAGTAAAAGTGTGCAGTATGCAGCAGTGTTCAAATTTGGCACCCAGATAGGTAGTTGAATTTATTCAATTGCAGTTCGCGCTAAGTTAATCAATTTTACGATGCCTCTACACGCTTGTTGATCGTTACAAACGCCAAACACCTCAAACAAAATGTCAACCGCCCCCTGTTCCCAGTGGTCTTACCAGTAGAATTAATGGGAATTTCCCACCCAATAGACTTACTAGTAAGACCACCGGGAACTTTGTACCCAGTAGATTTACCAGTAAAATAAAACTCAACAGTCCTGTTGTTAAGGTACAATTCCGCAATGGGCTGCAGGCGACAACCGCAGGCTACACTGAGGTTAGCTCCTGCGGCTGACCGTGCATTATGCACATTATGCACAGCACTTTGGGCAAGTGCCCAGGGCCTCATGGTCGATAGGTGGGCACCTCAGATCACAAATACAAAGTCCCTAGTTCTTGTTAGATCACCAAACGGGGGTCATAGGGGCCCCATTATCCTAATATGCCCAGGGCCTCCAATAGGTCAAAGACGACACTGATTGTGCAGCCGCGGCATGTCTCCGCGCTCGGTATCAATTTCATAGAGATTCATAGAAACTAGTACTGTCGCTTGCAGTCTGCACCTGCGGCCTGTGGTCTGCGGTTCAGTTCGGACTTGTACATAATATGTGAACTTGAATCTGACCCAAGGTAAATCAAGAATCTTTCAGTTCGCTCAGAATTTTTTGCTGCCAAGTGAAAGACAGGGGCAGCATAAACACACTGCTGCATACTGAATACTTTCACTGCTTTAATCTATTGACGGAATTTTGAAAAAAGTGAAGTTATGAACTTTAGTTTATGGTTCTAGACCATACATGGCTAAGAGGTTCTAATTGTGAAACAGTAAAAAAAATATTATTCAGAACCAGTTAATAAAAGATTATTTATTTCCATTTTCATGACCAGAATGCCTTAGCCATGTATCCTAGTACTTTTTTATTTTTGTATGGGAAACAAAAATGTGAACATTAAGGTTAAAATAAACCATAGTCGTATTAGTCCGTGGTGAACCAAGGGTCAGGAAAAGTCTCTGGAATCCACCCAGGTAAACTTGTTAGGTCAGGTTATGTTAAAAAACGGTGTGGAAATATAATTTTAAATTGACTCCAAAGTTATAGTAGGGGAGCCCAAGCGGGGATTTTTCGATTTACTCGAGCGCGGCAGAATAACATATGGGGAGCAACCTTGCATCTATACTTCGACAATTTATTAGCTGCAGTAAAATGACGTTTCAAAATGTCATTCCGTAAAATAATGTTGACAGCCTAATTTCAATAGGGATGTGCTTAGGTTCACAGAAAATTTAATCGTTCCATAAGTAACTCATAATGATCATACTAATTCTTTTTATTATTCATATAAATAAAAGGCTGTATAAAATCTCAAGTTGGTACTGGTTTTTAGTTACGGTGCTACGATGACGCTTGTCGGCCATTTTATTTTATTTGTCATTGCTCATTCGGCTTCTAACTTCTATTTTGAGTGCACGAATAACTTTGCTTTGCACACTGGGAGTTGCCCTTATCACTGTGAATTGAACCCCGTCGAGTTGGCTTGGGCTCAGGTAAAGGGGCACGTCGCAAAAAATAATAAAACATATAAAATGCAAGAAGTGAAAACTTTATTCCAAGAAGGAATCAACAAAGTGACACCAGCCAAGTGGAGTGACTACAATATAAAAGAGGAAGACAAAATGTGTCACCTCGATCATATTATAGATGAAGTGACAGACAGGTTTGTCATTAGTGTGACCGAAAGCGAAAGTGAATCTGAAAATAATTGATTAATAAATAACATTGTTATGACAATTTTGTTTAATTTTGGATGTACGTCCTTATACTTCCACTGAAAAAGATCAATCCTTTACTAAATTAATAATACTAGAATAAAAAATACATTACAACTTAATATTAAATCTCTAAAACAAAACCAAACTGATCATTCATTTATTGAATGATTCACTTACTCACTTAGCTACATCCCTATTTATTTTTCTTCAAAAACCGGTAACCCACACAACGTCATTTTACTGCAGCTAATAAAAAGTTCTACTCTAGTTAAGTACTCCCACCATACCTGAGCCCTCTATGTAGGGCCGAACGTCTAGGGCAGCAAAAACAAAATTTCAACGAACGGTCATGACTATAGATGTAAAACAACCGATTTAAAACGTTTTAAACCAAATGTTGCCGTTTTAAACCCCAAATAAATCGTTTTAAACGGTTGAAAACTGGCATAAAAAAATAAAAGAACTGTTTTTTACACTTTATGGTTTTTTTTTTTAATTTTGTACTAGTTCTTTATTTACAGTCATCATAAATAACAAACCCCTATGATAAAGATACAAAAACTACATGCGAACGTACCTAAAATCCGGGGGTCACTTTTAAAAGCACATTTTGAGATATACAACAAGATACATAGAGATGTTAACTGTTAAAATGGGCTTGTGACCTGACTACATGATGTAGTTATTGTCAGCAGACACCATGCATGCCCCAACCTACCCCCTGTTGTATTCGCGCCGTGTTTATGTATTTGCATGTGTGTAGGGTAGGCGAGTTGGACACGTTTGCGTCGAGTAACGACGAGTGACGTCAACGAGAGTGCGAGGGTGTGAGTTTGGTTTTAAACCGAATCAAATTGATTGAATTGATTTATATCGTTTGAAAACAATATTTTTTTTATTTACTAACACAGAGTTTTTAACTTATGATAAGAGTTTTTATAACTTAGGTAGGTAATACCTATGCTTGGTCGCGGATGGACCAACTAGAACTATACTCGCTAAGTATATCAATATCAGTAAGTATATCACACATTTAAAAAATCTTTATACAGTTTATAGGTACTCCGTTATATTCCTACCTCTCGGTAAAATCAAGACAATGTAGTTATAATTAAGAAAAACATAGTCATCAACACCAACCGTTTTAAATCGAAAAAATGGTTTATTTCGGTTTTAAAAGGTTTTTTCGTTTTAAACGGATTGGTTTAATTGGTTTTAAACCGGCCTTACATCTATAGTCATGACTTTTGGTCTCGCCCAAATCGTCAGTATTTTGAATATAAGCTACTAGGGGGTTCATGTAACCTTTCTAGGAACGGGAAAAATATTGATTTGCCGCGGTTTGCATGATATGGGGGTGGCCGTACGAAGGGGTTGAATATAGGAAAAAATAAGCGAGTGCGTCAGATATTGAGAAGGGATGTTACGTGAATCCTCCAGTAGCTCCTATTCAAAAGACTGACGATTTGGACCCAAACAAAAGTCTACTACGTGCAAGGTTGCTCCCCATATGTTATTCTGCTGCGCTCGAGTAAATCCGAAAATCTCCGCTTGGGCTCCCCTACCATTATATTTTTAACAGTAGATAATTAAGTGTGGGTTTGTTTTTACAAAATCTTTATCGCGACTTTGTTTTCTTTCTTTTACAAATTATTTAGGAAACCTAGTTAATCAAGAAACCCATAAAACTTATCCCTACTGGTAGCGATAAATGGAAAAATATGTATATCCAATTATCCCTACCCGTGGGGATCGGTAGGAATAAGTGTAATAGAAAGTTCCATATATCCCAACTGGTAGCGATAAATGAAATAAAAACAGGTATCGTGGAGATATGTACACACATCAAAAAAAGTTTGTGATCACTTTAAAATATAAAATATTTTTTTGTGTTACAGAAGACTTTTTTGTAATTTCTTTTTCTGATAAGATTCTAAATTTTAAATTTAGAACGTAAAACAGTTAAATAATTCAATTGTTTTTCCATTAAAGGACATGCAATCCAAGCTTATACTCATTCAGAAATCTGCCTTAGTCAATATTATCGAATTTAAAATAAAAGTTGTGATTTAAAAAATGCCACGAGAATTATCAGATGTTTTACGAGCCAGAATTATAACTTTATGGGAAGAAGGCTTTTCTACGAGAGAAATAGCACGCAGAGTTGCCATATCCCAATCCTGTGTAGTAACCACGTTGCAGAGGTACCACGGCATGGGTGATTTAGCTGATCGAACCCGCAGCGGTCGCCCAACTGTTTTGACAGCTGCTCAGAAGCGCTACATCAGGTTGTTGGTAGCCCGCGACCCAACAATAAACGCCACTAAATTAAAAGCAGAAATACGGGCCGCGTCCGGACTTGAAGTTAGCGCTCAGACCATGCATGCCGAATTGCTTACACAAGCGGAGATTACAGTGGGCGAGGCTCCGGCAAAACGAAGACGAAGAGGAAAACATTTGGCAAAACTGCCTCTACGTTGACGAATCGCGAATCAGTACTCATCCAGATAACCGACGTGTCCGTGTTTGGAGAAGACCTGGAGAATCTGAAAGGCAAAGAACGGCCACTGAAACGGTTCAGCAAAGTGGGAAATCAGTGTCCTTTTGGGGTGGTATTGTGATTGGGGCTAGAACGCCTTTAATTCCTTATCAAGGCTTTATGACGGCAGAGAGATACAAAACAGTCGCTATTGATGGAATCGTCAGACCTTTCCGAGTAAACCATGGCCACCAAATTGTACTGGTTGACGATAATGCGCCTGCACATCGAGCTCAACGAGTCAATGCTGCTCTCCGAGAATTCGATATCACAAGGTTATACTGGCCAACCGGCTCTCCTGACTTAAACCCAATAGAGCACGTGTGGGATGTTCTTCAGCGAGCTGTTTGAAACCG